CACTTTGTGAGTGCAGTTACAACGTGCGCTCTCAGGACATTATTACCTGCAGTGTTCCCTCAGTGAGGACTGAAATAGGCAAAAGGGCCTTCTCCTACTCCGCTCCTGTTTCCTGGAACACCTTGCAAAAAGATCTGAAGCTCTCGACCTTGACCACTCTAAGGGACTTTAAACATCTGCTAAGTCCATGGCAGAAACCAACGCAGGCATGTTCCTATTTTTTAATATTTTACATCATTTTATAATGCAGCTGTTTATTCCTGTCCTTTTTTTATATAATTTCTTCCATTTTCTTTTCATTTTATATGATTTTTACGATTGTCTATTGTTGCCTGTACATCATTTGTGTTCTTGAGGCTCAGTGAGACTAACCTGTATAAATAAAGGTTGAATGAATTAGCTAGATCTTGCATTAGATCGCCTACATTATTTTCGTTCACAGCCGTTTGTTGAAGATTTGTTGTTTCATTGTACTTTTCCCAATTTTCTGACCCAATTTTGCCAAACTTTGAGCTGACAAGCTGTCTTTAGTCTTTGCCATTATAATTCAATTCAGTTTATTTATATAGCACCAAATCACAACAAAGTTGTCTCAGGGCACTTTACAGGAACATTCGCATACATAAAAGCCAATTAGTAAAATTCTCTATCTAGATAGTTCTCTATATCTAGTTCTCTATCCCACAGGCCAAAAAGGCCCAATAGGACTCCTTCTTCAGCCTCTATAGTCAGACATGCATTATTTTGTTCTCTCACCTCTTCTAAGAAAATTATTGTTGTTTGTGGAGAAGCAAGCCTAGGCCACGCTAAGCCTTTCTACCATGTTCTTTATAGAACGAGGAAACTTTCTATTGGCAACCCCTGAAAACAACCATACCAGTTTATTCTTTTCTAATTGTCCTGTCAAGAACGTTTAACTTGCTGAGGTCTGCAGGGTCTGAAATGTAGTTCTTGGGAGTTGTATAGCAATTTATTTGAGTATTGCACAGTCTGATCTCAGGGAAACTGGCTCAGGATACCATCTCCTGAAACTGTTTTAAATGTTTACTGAATGTGTATTTCTCACAGTTGACTGATGAGCTTCAAACATTTTGAAACATCCTCCTGTGCTTTTCCCCCATAAACTGTGGGAGTGCATAATTAGCTTTACTATTAACAGACACAAATGTTCAAGATTGTATAATATTGGGACCAGAGTTTTATTTTAAGTCAATCTTGTAAAACGTTGGCACTGCAAAGAGGTGTACTTGGTTTTCACTTTCTGCAAAATAAGTTTTAGTTTTCTTCAATGAGTGAAACTGAAGTTATTATTTCTTTTCAAATGTTTGGGGTGTGCAAAACAATCTCACAATAAAAGAACTTGTGTAGAAAATACTATCCTTTTTGTAGCTCGTGTCAGCCTACCAGACTGAGTTAGCAGTAAATGCAGTACTGTGTATTATGTGGGCTTCATCGTCAGTGTTGTTCTACATTAGAGTACAAGGGTAAGTGAATTTAGCATTATTGTGACCCTATTCATAATATTTATATCCATTTAATGCATTGTATTGCAAAAAATATGATGTTCATAACCCTCTGTGACAATGGTCAAATTTGTAAACTATTATTGTGTAGTGCAAAATAACTTTTGACTGACTTTCAGCACAATATGACGATGTTCACACTACAGCTCATAATCAGTTCAGATTTTTTGCTCAGATCAGATTTTTTTAGTGCAGTCATACACATTAAAATTTAAATGTGTCTGTCAACAAACTCCAATGTTGACAGTCTATGGCACAGGTGCAACTTGCATGCGCCAAATATACTGTAATGTCACCCGCAGTATATATATGTGTATATATACATACTGTATATATACAGTATATATATGTATATATACATACTGTATATATACAGTATATATATATATATATATATGTGTATATATACATACAGCAGTATATATATATATATATATGTGTATATATACATACAGTACTATATATCGTTAAAGGAAAGAATGTATATCTCGGTGGTCGCCGAATCATTAAAAAAA